AACTTCCAAAACAAATCTAAATTTCTACAGAATATCTCCATAATCTGCATCCATCTATCTGTTCACCAGTCCCCAATGTATCTTCTTCATTGCCATTAACTATTATTAATTGCCAACATTCTGCCATTGCTCATGCTGTTAACAATATCAAAAGTGCTCTTTCTTCTTCCTTCCACCTTCCCAAGTCCTACCCATCTTTCAAGACCCAGCCTAAGTCTGAATATCTCCATGAAGGCTTTCTGGACAACTCCAGAGCTCACTGAGCTCCTTATAGTTTTTATACCACCTTATATCCCATAGTTCATTATTTATATTGTATACTGGCATATTGGTATCAGTTCCACATCTTCCCAACTAGATTATAAGCCAGGCACATAATAAGCAGACTCAACACAGTTGTTTGATTAGATTAACCCATGTTTAAAATATATACATAAGAATAGACCACCATTAGTATAGTTCATTTTAATACAGTTACATATAATGTATATTTCTCATGCCCCACCAACACTAACAATACCCATTCCTGAACATGAAAGTTGCACAAGAGAAAACCAACTATACTCACATATTTGTATAGTATACAATTTGGACATGAGGCACACAGACCATTTGGTTTTTCGAGAATAAAATTTCAAATTTATGCCAGAGCACAGGATGCACTTTGCCATTTCAACTTTTTAATTCATGTTCTGAATGATGACTTACAGTAGTCATTTCGAAGACTAGTAAGATGAATCTTCACCTCTTGTTGGAATATGGAATGGTTTGTGTCACTGAACCTTTTAAGATAGAAGGATTCATCTCTCACTCCATCTCTGCAGCCTACAAGAAACAAACAGTTCTACACATCTCTGTGATTCTGAAAATATAATATTTATCCTTGTGGGTATTAAGAAAGAACATTAAGTGAAAAAGATTAATTAAGTGAAAAGGAAAGTGGTCATCATGACAAAACTATAGTACAAAGAGCAAGGGAGGAAAGGAAATAAAGAGGACCTAAGTATTAATTTAAATAAGAATATTAAAAAATTATTCAATGACACGTTCTAATAAAAATCACGAGTGCCAGACCTAAATGTAGATGACAGACTTCGTTGGGAGCATACAGAGATGCTATATAATGCTTTGATTTATTCTGTCATTTGAGATTTTAAAACCAAAATGAATTTTGTTTATCAATATGTCTATTACACCAACACAGCCTGTAGACTGTAGCCCTACTCTGAGTCTTAATCAATAGATTTTTTTTGGTTCATTGATTTTAGCTCTTTTCCTCACTATTTCTGTATAAGAGCACACAGAGTTACTACTTCTGGCCAATTTTATTCATGACTCTCTGAGGCCAGAATTATATCTTTTATTCAGTTTTAAGTTCTCATCAAAAGACCTCACTAAGTCCAAACCACAGGCCACTGTCTCTTCATCTCCAACCACTCAGCTTGTGATCAAATTGAGAATGATATAATCAACAGAAACCAAGATCACCCAGGTGTCATGTGGTGTCTATAACCAGATGCTTTCTGATAAAAGCATGAGAGCTTTACAATGCTGTTACCAAGAAACCAAATTGTTTCTCATAAATTCCTGCCTCTGTGTTATGAATTTATGAGAAAACCTGCAGTTGTGGGCAGAACTACAGGGTTATTAGAAATACTCAGGCCTACTAATAAGGTATCAATAAAGGTAAAAAG